AAGCTTCTGAGCTAGATAGTGCTGATGGAACTGCTCTATAGCTGTTATGACTGACTAGCTTCATCTTTGCTGTGCAATCAGATGATGGGATTTGATAAAAATGGGCTCTAATAATGGCAACATGAACTGGAGCTACAGATCACCATGTAGACAAAACCTCTGCATGGAATAGGTTTAGGTTTTGCTTTAAACTGCTATATCCTTAATGCAAATCAACTGGAGAGATAATATCCCTGAAGCAACCTATTACTGAATACAGGGGGAGGTCAAATTGATTCACTGTAGTTTACTGGATCATTATTTTTGGTGGACTCATTCTTACAGTTGTTGTTATTTCTATCCCTTACGGTTGGAAGTACAGAGGTCCTATCATGAATACCTGTATTACCATTGCATTAGAGGACCTCATGATTTTTAATGTATTTATCCACTTAACACACCAGTGAAGTAAGGAGGAGAAAGTGCTGTTTCACCCATTCAGAGATTGGGAATGTAGATCACTTGTGCTTCTTGTTCTCAATCACACAGGAAATCTGTAACAGGGGAGGGAATTCAACCCAAGCTAGAATCCTAGCCACAGAACAGTTCTTCCTTTCTTTGTAAACTCAACTAGACCCAGACAAACAGAAGCAACAGGTTTCAGGCCAAATGCCACAGGTGTGGGAGATCTCAAATACGGCAGAACAGTTGGGGTTCTTCAGAGTTGTACAGCCTGCCCAGGGAGACTTCCCATAAAGGAAGTCATTGGTGTGAAGGTCAACTAAAAATAAAAACAGTTGTCCACTGCTTTCTATTGCAGTGGAGTCTCAGGGCCTGAGAGGATCAGAGATCCATTGTGCAACGTCCTCCAGAGAGTACAATAAAGAGTACAGAACTCATAGCCTTGTCTATGAAACGAGACAACAGGTAATTAAACTAAATAATAGGTAGGGGGAGTGGTGGGGAATAAGGATGTGACAACAGGAAGGCTAAATGTCAGGCAGAATATGTACAGGCATTGCATTTAGATCAGTGGTCACCCACCAGTTCATCAAGATTGACCAGTCGATCAGGGAGCCCCTGACAGTCGATCTCAGTCTGAGGGGACTTGCAATTGGGAGCAGTGGGACGCATCTGGGGAACATCCAGGATGCAGTCTTGGGGCAGCAGGACATACAAGTGGCAGGATGTATGTGGCTGGGCTGAGGCTGGGCCTCAGCTTAGGGCTTGGGGCGCAAAGGCCAGGGCACAGCAGCAGCCACCTCGCCCCATGCACAGAGCAGGAGAGCATGTGGCTCCTGGGCTTCCACCGGTGTGCGTGTAGCAGTGGGAGCCTCCTCATGCACCTAGATGAACCATCTGGGCTCCGAACCTTCCCCAGCCTGGCCTGGCCATGGCCTCACTCTCCCTTGCCCCTGCCCCTGCCCCACACCTTCCCTCACTACTGGGG